GCAAAACTCAGGTACCAGTCATGTCAACTGGTCCCGAGTTCAATCCCACGCAGAGGCGTTTTTTATTGGCAAAAACTCAACCAATCTGAGTGGTGGTGGTCATTGTTGAAGTGGTGAGATTTATTATATTTTCGTACCACACCTCCCACCACTCGATACAAACGTCCATATAATAAAGTGTACCACTGTGCGCCAGTCTCAATGCAGTTCTCTGTAATAGTATGATATTATTCGCGAGGATATACCCAATCATCGAATTTATCCCACTGCATTCCCGAGCATCCCAAACAATAATTGTTGACTTCATCATGGTCATCAGTCACCCAGCATGCTTTCACCAGAACCGTACGATAACGTTCGTGTAATGCTATGCCCGGGGTTTGCGTTGTGCATCCAAATGCATCTATTGTCCCAGTTTATCCACTTGGGAATATCTTAACTTCACTATCAGCCCGGTTTGTCCCAGCACAATGTATGTCGTAACTGAAGTACTGGTATTAACTGTAAGTGCAGGCAAACATTCAATGCAATACAATAACCAAGTAAAACGAATCTGTATTTTAAAAGTTTACACTACAGTCGAGAGTACTCATTCTCGTAGTACAATCTCATGTCCAGATTGACCAGTTCTTTTGGCTCAGTTGGGAGCGCGTCTACTTATAGATCACTTTACACCTGATCCAAGTAGGACAAGAACTCACTGATGGTCGCTGGTTCACTCCCAGGTTTCCTCACGTCCTTGGCATCGAGACCAGGAAGCTAGGGTCGAGTCAGAACCCTCCCCTTTCACTACTACCATGACCTGCATCAGGTCACAGGCATCGCTCATGCGATCCTCTGCTTCCAGGCGTGTATCCATCAATTCAATGCAATCGCTTCATCCTCAGTCACATCGCTCCGAGAGATCTTGTAGCTGTTCTCGCCATTAATCCCAACAATAGCATGCATTACCCGTCGCTAGGTTCGAAACGTCTTCTACAAAGTCAATGATGGCAGACAATTGAACGATTCAGGTCCTCCATGACCGACATTTCATTTGCTGCTACAGTGACTGAATAGAGTTGAAGAAGCCCAGGTCTAGGTAGAACGTTCAGGTCCTCAGTCGCCGGACCTGAACGTTCTAGACCTGGCTGGCACATTAGCTCGATGTTCCAACCACCCTCAGTTGCCGCTTGAACTAACAAGGCATCGTCGACAGCACTGTGCCCCATTTGTGCTTACTTGCTGACGCTCTTGGTATAGCGCCATGCGCTTGTCGTTCGTCAAATTTGATTTGGAATTTGTATTGCGAGCAGACTTGGAATCGTAGCAAGTGTGAATGTGGTCATATAATTCAACAAAAAATATGATCAGAATCGCCTCAATGAAACGAACACGCTCCACTAAGTTTTAGGCCAATCGGATAACTGGAACACTAATTTTTGTCACCGCCTGCACTTAATACCTACCAGAGGTAGTACTACACCTTTTTATATTGACTTGGGACTTTTTTCAACGTTGTTGGCTTGGCGCTCATTCGAAAGAGCGATGTGTCCATTCATTTGGCCTTGTGGCCAATAGAATTGACACTTAGTGCCGCAACACCCTTTGAAATGTACCATACTACCAATGGAAAAGGCTCCACTACTCAACAATGTGTCAAAAGCATTTCGAATCTGCCGTGCTTGAAGTTGAGTTGGATCGAATATAACATTATATTATCAAATACGCGACGGCATGAAAAAAGCAGATAAAATCATCGAAACTTGCAGCAAACAGCTACAATTCAACGTTGATTGCATGCTGCTTCTTGATGCTTGAGCACACGTTGGTCCAAAAAAGATCCCAAATTTCTTGGCGTATCGCATGTTTGAACGGCCGGAAGACCGTAACGTCCAACGGTTGGAACAGATGCGTTAAGTTGGCTGGTAGATATTGCAGCAAAATGTCAAACGATGTCGCAGCGTCGTAGATGTGCTCAGAGTAATGCGACAAACACCCGTCCAAAATGAGCAAAATGGGACGTGGCGTCGAAATCGGGATACTTGAGTTGAGCATGGACATCCACTTGCGACAAATGAATGAGTTGATCCACCCTTTTTCGGAGGTCGTGATTGCGGTACCAGGAATAGACAGGCTGTCACATTCCATTGTAGACACAGTGTCACCCGGGAGTACGAACAGCGGTGGAATCTTTGTCCCGTTGGCAGCGACACATGCGACAATCGTGACGTGGGCTGAGGCTGTCGCTTCTTCAACGTAAACATTCTTGGTCGTGCGTTGGACAACCACCTTCCTTGACGTTTTGGACGGCGAAAAACTTGTCTCATCCATGTTGAAGACCCGTGATGGATCCATGTCAACAAGTGACATGGAATGAGCAAGCTCATGAAAGAACTCCACCACGGCATCTTTGTCGACACCGTTTCGCGGATTTCTCAGAGTTCGTGCTTTCGCAATCTTTAGATCTTGATTGCGTGTCGAGGAATCTTTTGTACCGACCGCTCGTAAGCTTGGTGTCACGTGGTGTATCATGTACCACTTGATGTATCTCGGTTGCCTTGTCGACGATCTGACGACAGCCAACGGGTACCCCTTCGTGTTCCATTGCGACAATCCAAGTAGCCAAGGCGTCTTCGAAATCCTTCGGCAGGACAGGCGGCCTGCCCATCGTCGTCGGTCGGTTGTCGCCCGTGATTGCCTTGGCGACATGGGTGCGCAGTGTACGTTGGGGTATACCAAGTGCCTCGGCAGCGGTCAAAACACTGTGTGTCTTGTTGAGCACAGCTCGGACAGCCACGTCCATCGCCTCCTGTGTGTAGGACGTTCTTGGTGGCATTTTCAAATTCAAAGCTGAAAACCTCGTTAAAATTGAATTGTTTACCTCCATCACATTATAAAGGTAAACCTTATCACAAGGATTTATTTTGTCCAATGAAACATCGTATTAATTTCAATTGGACAAAACACCTTGGCCGATCGATGGTCATTTGGCCGATCAATGGTCGATCACGTTAAGTTCCGGAGTTTTCCTCAACCCTATAAAGCTTCAGAGGTTATTTTAAGGATAAAGATAAATATTCATCTCCGAAATCTCCCTATTGTATCATAAGTATGTGTTTGTGCTAGACAACTGAGGCATGTACTGTACTTCGAAGTATTAATAGTACTATACCAGTTGCGGTACAATAGACCTTAGTAACAGTAAGTGCGTTCATGATCTGAGACAATCGCAATTGTAAAGAACCATACAGAATTCCAATATAACTCATCAGTTGGTGATAGACCCAAGTACTGATCAATTACATGGTGTCTGATTTGATGTATGCTCACATTCCACTTGACTAGGTGATTAATTGAGCATTGCACTTGATGATTCTTCATGCCTTTGCTTGACGATTTACCAAGTCCTCTAAAATGTTAACCAGTCTTGTGCCGTTTCGTGTCAAGGCAATTCAAATCACAACGATAGACCAGTCGTACTAAATGAACCATGAGTTCACTTGAACATGTGAGGAATATCTACTCATCTGCAAGACGAATAACAACAGAATTCCAAGGACGCCAGTCAGTTCGCAAGTACAGTGACTATGGCTCACTTCACCCCTCACAGACTTTTATCAATCCATCACTTTGCAATCTGCATTAACTCCATCATGGCGCCCATCACACCAACAACCTGCTCATCCGTCTGCAAGAACAGTCCATCCGTGAACGTTCGTTCCTCGAAGCTTCCTTTGTCGACTACGGCGAGGTAGCTCGACTGAACGAAGAACGGGTTGACGACGTCGCCAACCCGATCTTGGAGAAGTTTGTCAATGATCTTAGACCAGAGGGTATCCGTACTCCCCCAAGGATAGCCTATTCATGGCCTTGACCGTGATGAAGCATTTCAGCACTTGGGACAAACACGCTGCTGACTTTGGCTTCAAAGCACCGAGATTTGAGAAACTCATCATGCGAGTTGTCATGGTACGTACATTACTTTGAGTTTGCCTGACCACATCGTAGACCATTGAGCCGCTACTCTCGGAACAGCTGATCGTTTGCCCGACGATGACCTCCTTGACTGCGGCAGGCAGGCTGTTTTCGAACTTCCCATATGCCCTATACGCTTTTGACGTGAAGTTCCAACCTTCCTTGCGGCCAACGGGACGATTCGCGGAAAAAAAGCACTATTTCAGTGGTAAGCACCACCTGTATGGTTACAGGATCGAGGCGGTGGTATCACCGGATGGGCGCTGTGTTGCAATGATCGACGCACATCCTGGGTCTGTGCATGATCTTACCATCCTGCATACACGCTGTGAGCTGCACACGACCAACTTGACCAAGTCTGCCTGCGAAGCTACTTTGCCTGACAATGGTGAACTGTCAGCTGAGTACTTGGTGACATGGGCTTTCCTCGTGGACATGGAGTACATTGGTGTTCACCATACGCTGCATGGAATCCATCCGAATCGCCGCCCGCAGAATGGAGCCTTGGACGCCGCTGACGTGGAGCGCAACCGCCAGGTGTCGTCCGTCCTTGTGGTAGTGGAGAACTTCATTGGCCGCGTGTGCTCCTTCTGGAAGGTGTCCCACGCCACTTTCACATGGGGTGAGAAGATCGATGGAGTCTTTCAACGCACGACATTTGCGTTGACTAACTTTCACCTCTCGTTGATGCCCGCGCGCGCTAAAGACGAAGACTACTATGCATTGGTCATGGCGCGCTACCAAGGAATGTCGAACGAACGCAAGCGAAAGTGTGCCGAGTCTCAGCGCCGCTATCGCATGAATCGCCAGAATCGTATTGCCATTGACCGATCTGTTCGCTACATGCATAGTTCGGTCATTTAGTTTGAATTGTTCTGACCTTGTACAGTTTCCAAAAGAGCGAGTAACTAATCAGTATGTCAATCTTTTCGTATTTTTCTGTGTTAAAAGTAAATTTGTTTGCATAAATTTAGTTCTAATGTGTATTTGGTAGCTGCCGCCAAATTAGAAGCAGAGTGAATACTTTTGATGTGGGTGAGTCAAATTGGAACTTTTTCAGTTATATTGTGTAATAGTCACCAAATGGTTTAATGCATGCCTCAGTTGTCCACAAACAATTTGTGTGTGGACGGACACACAAAGTACGGTGTGTTTGTGTGACACAAACACACATCATTTTGAAAGCGCTTGTACAGAACATACAATATATTTCTGTGGTTTATCTGACATGACAACGTCGTACTCATATTCATTCACCAGCCTGACTTAGCAAGCAGCCTTGGGCAAGAACGGTTCGATAAAGTCGCGGACTTCCGAGACACGGACGTACACTCCGGGAAGGCCTGGGCTCGCGCAGCCAATTCCCCAGCTGGTCACACCGGCCAAGTACTCTTCCCCGTTGCGGGTGACGGTCAACGGTCCACCCGAGTCGCCTTGGCAGGTGTCCTTGAACCCCCCGCCGGCACAGATCATGGACGACGTGACGTTGAGGTTGTGGTACTTGTTGAGAGCGGCGTGGCACTTGGAGTTTTCCCAGATGACCACGTCGGTTTCCAAGAGCACAGGGGATGCAGGCCCGCCGGAATAGATACGACCAAACCCACGCACCCACGACACGACGCCCGGGGCAGTGAACTGGTCTTCGTCCCAGTTGAGCTTGACGGGGGGGAACTTGGACTCGGTTTCCAATTCGATGACGGCAACATCGTAGTCGTGGCGAGTGGCCTTGTTGTATTTGGGGTGCAAGGTTCGCTTGACGATCTTGATGCGTTCGCCGTCCTTGGTGCCGTTCAAGTAGTGCGACCCGATGGACGCGTAGGTGGACCAGGGACGCGTCACGCAATGAGCCGCCGTGACCAGGATCTTGGGGGCCACCAACGACGCACCGCATATCGAAGCCGCGGTTTCGTTGGGGCGAAGTCCCGTCACGTACGTGTACTTGCCAATAGGCACCACGGTACCGTTGACGATTTCAATATCGGCGGCCGCGAAGGCGGCAACAGCAGCAAGGGCGAGGAACTTGACCATGGCAAAGTGAATTGGAAAATGAGGTCAAGTTGGAAACGCAGAACCATAATTCTCTTTGTTCACGAGTTTTTCCATGTGGAATATGTGCGGCCCCATCTCTATACTGAGCCGCTAGTGATACGAAGTGATAGATTTGACACTGGATAATAATGGTGCGCCACGTGTGGAAGGATATGCGACATCTACAGAGTAATTCCCTTATTAAGATAGTATCACAATCGTTTTCACCCGAAATGCTAGTATGTGACTGTGAAGCTACCATCCGGATAATGCATACCTTTTAGCTCGTAATAGTAGGTAGACCTGTAATCTGCGACTTCGGCCTACTACCGATGAGTAATTCTCCGGGGTTAACTGTATCACCAGTGTTTAGCGATAGCAACGCACTGACATGCACTTATCCTCTTGAAAGAGGTGTCTTTACTAAGTCCTATATAAACACGCGAATTGCATTGCTTTCTGCTACCATAAGCAGTACTACTGTTTGAATGAGGCAATTGTACATATCTAAAGTTTTGCTTGTAACGCACTGACGTTAGCACTCTACAGTACCCAACTCCTATCATTGCACTTTCAATGATTTGTAAAATGATTAACAGTCTGTGAATACAATTAATTACAGTACTGGGCTTTGTAAAATGATTGACAGTCTGTGTATACAGTACATTGAATTACTGAATTACTGGGCATGGAATATCTAGACCTCGTCGATCCTTTATGGTTGCCTATTTCTGCGGGCGGAAATTTCCTTTTAGGTATGAGCTTAGGCTCAATTTCAGCCTATATAATGTGAGTTGTAGAAATGTCGTGAAAGGAACTCATTCCGGTAGTCAACGATTTCATCCATCGGCAAGTTAAATTAAGGTGTTTCATGCAATTTCCGCCCAGCTTGTCCTACTTTTGAAGTCTCGTAACTCGTCGCCCGTGTGTGTGATGATGCTGCAAAAACATGCATTCTCAAGGTCATGAGGAGCTTTATTAGTTTATGCAGGAACCATCGTTGTATCGCTTGTCCATTTTGCTCGACGAATTTTTCAATTCTGTAAATGTAAATTCCGCTCAGGTGTTTGACTTAAATAATGTAACGTTATGACAGATTTGACCACAGAAATTCTCAGAACCTCTTAATAGTATTATTTATTAAGTGTACAAGGTATTCTATTTATAAGTCATTGTAATTATGAGATTACATGCGGTATCAAAGAAATCAAATATTAAATGCTAAGGGTATTATTTACCTGAGTACCTGATTTTATCCAATCATCTTCTTTCGATGATTGTGATTGGCTGCCAACTGGGCGGATCACCTTACCACAATACTACCGTAGTAATAGTACTACAGTAGTTTGTACAGTACTGTAGTACCAGAAAGTATATCATTCTGGTGATTACTAAGCAGACAACGACGGATTTTATGGGACCCCAAAGTTTTGATAACACATGAGTAATATTATCCAATCAAATAATTTTACGACAATACAGTGAAAACATTTTAAATGTCGGTTTGATACTATTACTACTGTAGTACTAGACTAGTAATACGTAACGTTAGTACTCCGGAGTAATTATATTCGACGTGTCATTTCACAATAGCCAAATGCCGCTTGACTGGCGGCGACGGCTTCGGCTTACACGATGGTGGGTTCTCTGGCTTGACAAAAGAGTCGTGAGGACCAAGACAGGTTTGGTCTTAAAAAGTCTACAGACGGCTGGTCGCCAGTGACGACCAGTCAAACGGTTGTCTCGCCGTTATGCATGTCGACTCGGGGTGTAGCTTTCTCCGCTCCCAGGCTATCAGCTACAACCCGAGTCAAGAGGACAACCCGAGTCAAGAGGAATGCTGCGAGGAGTCTCAAGGCAATGGAATTCAGAAGGAAGTCGGTGTGGCCTTCAACAGGGCGATGTTGCTCAGTAATTGCAGGTTTGGTCTATTGCCACCTTCCCCTCCGATATATCTGTGAACAACTTGGTCAATGAATGGCGGGCTACGCTTATCAGCGTGCACCCATCACTAGAACAATGAGAGGTACATATCCGATCCCACCACCAGGCATTACTTCACAGGGTGCAAGGTCACTTGCGCCACGACCATGTCGATTACCTCCTAGCTCCCTGTACCTCCTTCGATGTAACTCAAGCGCTCAAGAAATTACACGGGAGCAACGCCCCCTGACCCGACGGTATCCCCACCCAGTTTTATCACCAGTTTGCCAACGCCCTGAACCCCCTGCTTGTCCAGCTGTTGACACAGATCCTCCAAGGGGCTCGGCCAGCTTCAGGGACGCCGATGTCATTTCCCTCAAAAAGAAAGGCAACAGTACCCACGCCCTAAACTATCGCTCTATTGCCCTTCTGAATTTATGAGAAATACATAGCTAAGACTGGTTAGCTAGTGTATTGAATGAATGTTCATCCTACGGAATTCGTAGGCCAGAACTTGACTTTTGTATGCAATCGTAGGCTCACACCCCTACGATTTCGCCATTTTGAAATCCTCAACTGCAATTTTTTTCCAAGTTATATACTACGTAGTACGAATTTGTAGCAAACATAAAATTTCTCGATTGATTTGTGAATTGACGAAATCGTAGGGAGCTGGTCCTACGTTTTTCATATCCAATGAAATATCAAGAAAATCACAAATTGTGGGACTCCAATTGACCAATTCTCTATCGTACAGGTCAAATATCAAAGGTGAAGGTGAGGTGTCCTAGTGGCAATGCCATAGATGGCGTTACGTATTTAGTAGTACGCAAGCTGTACTGCGTTGTACTAGTACCGTGAAGTTCAAGTGATCTGTTGACAGTCGAGCTGGACGCATTTGCGAATCAAGACATTTTGGACATTAATGTATGGGCAATAAACACACCAGACCTGTAGCATATCTCTGTTACGAAGCAAGTATTGAACTATTACGGGTCAAGTTGTCGACAGTGGCCTGTCTTCATTTCTCCACGTTTTCCTCTGTTCTACAGCAATTCAAGTGCACGCAAATGCATAAATTCTGCCCTAGGAGATGAGGGAAATATGGTATTCAGATGACATTCTACGAATTAATCCATTCGTGTGAAGAAACCCTTGTGCTGCGCTTGGTAGTTGCCACGTCGGACGAGGAATCAGTATTTGTCGCCGACGTTTGTTGGTTTACACATGGACTCGGTTATCCGAAACATACGGATAAAACTAGTATCTACTACTAGTATATACTAGCAACATACTAGCCAATATTCATGAAGATTCACGAAATTTGCGATCTTTGAGCGAAGATATCGCCGCTAACAGTAACCCACCCGCTCTGATTTGAATGGATTTTGTTACACCGCACTATCAGCATATTGCTATATATAAATTCTTTGAAATGTAGATGGATGTAGGCTGTTGAATATGACATCCAAAACACGCATTCAGAGCAAAAAACGACGAATTCGTTGTTTTGGACTCGCCATCATTGGGTCAAATCAGCATTCGATTCGAATTGCAACATGGATCTCAGAACCCTGTGCTGTGAATAATATGCTGGCGCAATATAGTCATTCACTGTCAAACGTCTGTGCTTGCGGATTTATCGTCCTTTCTACAAGGACATTCGGGATCTACAAATGGTATTCGCCATAATTGGATTTCATCTGGTAGTTCGAAATTCTCTGTAGTATACGTATAAATAAGTACTAACGTTAGCACGTTCTATTTTACTTCATTGAAAAATGTATTCGATTTGTATCGTAAAGTATGCATTATTGATATCGACATCACAAATATCCGGATAAGTCTGCAAGCGGTCAAGCATTTGGTTCTAAGGTTTGATCCGGTAAAACAGCATGCGAATCTGTGGAATACCATGTTTCCCTCATCTCCCTAGGAGTATCGTTAATATCACGTGGTTGGATTGTTTACCTTTTGAGGACCTTGACCTATGTAATACTAGTATGGCGTTGCATTACTCCATTCAAATGCACGTTGGAGTCGTCCGACGATAGCTGAGGCATTACGGTATACGGCAAGGTCGTGGTCACGGCACGGATGCTTACAGTCAACATTGATGTCGAAACCACTACCGTAGTACATGACTACCGGAATAGTATTCCATCGTCGCATAATTGTACTCGTATCATGCAGCCTGCATTGCCAAGGACTATCGTCAATACTAGTGTTTTCATGATGCACAGAACATGGATTTGTGATTGAATTATCCAATCATTGTACAGGAGTGTTTTCATTGGTTAAATATGAAATCGTAGGCAATCTCCCTACGAACCCGGTTATTAGCCCGAACAGGGCCTAATCGGGTTTGACCTAACGGTACTGTGGCTTATTCAATCACCACGAAACACAGCGGTATCAAGGCGATATTGAAAGTGGATGAAGTTATTAAATAATTGCTTTCACAATAGTTACTAGTGGGCGGATTCTTATTGGTAGTATGATAATGAGCTCAATTCGATACCAACTACCAGTGCTGTGCATTATTCAATTGCCACGAGACACTGTACTGTACCGCGGTGCTAGTATTTCGACACCATATTCGTGCCATCCATCCTGGAGGATATGACGGTGTTTGTACCTGGTTAGAAGGTTGGAATGAGAGGTAATGGACCAATCAGTCGAGATGTGAGTGGCACTGATTGGTCCATTGCATGATACTAGTAGGATGGCATCCTAGAATCCAAAAATTATTTTTACAGTTATTGTGAATTCGCTATACACTTGCAAAATTTGGGTGATTTGTCTACTTCGAAGTACCTCGAAGTAATCAATATTGAATCACGCTGGAGTTCTGATTGGTTGAATATGCTTGTCCTTTCTGTAAGAGCCAATCAAATCCACTCTAACTAAATTGGATTAAGCAATTGCGTCGATTCGACAGGGTCGTACCGAAATCCACAATAATAGTGATGAATATTACGGAAGCTTATACATGCAAAGCTACTGGTGTCGCGGAAAAACCCATCCAGGGTGGAAGGTAAGATCTTGGTTGAGGTACGCGAGGAACGCAGCGAAGTCAAACGGGTGTGAGAGGGGTAAGGGAAGGTCCTGGAAGGGCGGAGATATCCTTCGCTTCGTCTGGAGCCCGTTTGGAGAGGAAGTTTGCGGCTTGGTTGCCCTCGCGGGGTCGATGGATCTGAAACTCGACGGCAAGCGAGCGCGTGCGACGGTAGACGTCCTGAAGGCCGACGTGTCGCACGCGGTAGAGTCCACACATTTGGCAGAGAACAATCTGGCTGTCGCCTTTCATTGTCAGGTGCGAGAGTCCCATCGTCTTAGCCAGTTGGAGGCCGCATCAAACCGTCGTATGCAGTTATGTTGTTGGCGATGGACCCGGAAACGTGGTGCACAGTGTATGTGGCAATGGCGCCAGCTCCCCCGCAGGCCTCATACAGTACATGCGGGCTATTCTACCAAAGAAGACGGCACCGTCCTTGCGCATTGGGGTCTGTCCGTGCTGTGGATGTGGTGGGTGGGCTATGGTAAGAGTGCATCGCTGGACGAGAGGCAGGGAGGTGTCGGCGCGCAAACGGTGTCTGTGTCGGGCATGCTAGAACGACAAAGCGTGGAAATGTGCCTGAATGAGCGAGGGGAAGAAAGATGTCGGGGGCAGTAGTCGGTAGTTGTTGTTCAGTGCGGTACAGCGGTCGTTCCATAGCGTACGGAGCGCTAAAGCCCGTACTAGTTGCCAAGCCTGAAAGGTAAGGTGGTCGATGGAAGTACCATGTGATTTCCAGTCGGGTGAAGCGAGAGTCCAGGGTGCGATGGGGGGTTGCGCACTGTGGAGAAGGCAGTCCATGTGATCGGACGGGTGATGGTGGATGGGCGCATTGAACCAGATGTGGAAGACCGTGGTCCAAAGGCGTTGGGCTCGTGGGCAGAGCCAGAAAGTGTGCGGGGCCGTTAGGCTCGTGGTAAAAGAGGCAGAGAGGGGGGTCCACTGAAGTGCGGAACGGAAAGGCCTGGTGGAACCAGAAGTGCATGAACCACTGAAGTGCCCCTGGTAGAGTCGGAGAGCTCCATTCTTGTACCCATGTAGACGGATCGAAGGGAGTCCCCAGGGTGGTGCAAGGCGGGCCCGACGGTGCGAGAACTTGTCGAGTTGAGGCTGGCTTGGGCATAGAGCGGCGAGGACTTCCTGAGCATTTGAGGCGGTGGGCGGAGGGGGGAAGTGGGAACCAAATCCGGCTGGCTTGGGAAGCTCGCAGGGGTTGGATGGAGAGAACCATCCTGAGAGTGAGTAAGTAGGGGGTTTGGAGCTGAGCTTCATGGCATGCGGTCAGCGAGGCTGCTGGCTGCGAGTTCTTGCAGTCATGGTGAGTGCAAGAACTCACAGCAAGTGTCCTCAAATAGCATACTACGTAGTATTATGTTTCATACTAGTAGGTTATTTTGCAAATACACCTGTATACATAACTAAAATGGATTCGTACTATATTATGTTACCAAGGGATGCATTTTCAAAGAGCATTTGTTTTAGATTGCTCGCAGACAATCATTAAATTAAGGTTGATCCAGTGGCGGTTTATGTATTTAAAGAGTACATGTCATAGCAAAAAACCCGCGATTAACATAAATTGGACAAGTATTTTGACCAGTAGGGTGCCAAGACCCCTCGATGGTTCCGCCTACTGTGAATATCCAAATATCAACCCAGCGGTCACAAAAATTTGAGAGGTTTATGACTGCGGTCATGACCAATAAAATTGATATCCAAGATATCAATAGAATTGGAGAGGTTTTGGAGCTGATATTCCAGATATCAGTCGTTCTGGTCATAGCCAATGGACGTGCACTATTCGGAGAGTTTTAACCAATCTGAATCCAGAACCTTTCTCCAGTTACAGCCAATCAGGTCTTGTGTGAGTTTTGCGTTCCCACTCA